GATGTCGTCTAGGTAGCAAACGACAAAACGGTCTATGTAGGGCCGAAAGGTTCGGTCCATCAGGGCTTGGAACGTGGCAGGAGCGTTCGTCAAGCCGAAGCTCAGCACAGTATACTCGTAATGACCAGAGGGCGTACGAAATGCAGTTTTCGGAATATCTGATTCAGCAATACGGATTTGATTGTACCCCTGCTGTAGGTCAATAGAGCTAAAGAAAGCCGAGCCACGCAGTCTATCCAGTAGATCATCGACCCGTGGGATAGGATAGCGATTTTTAACGGTGGTCGCATTTAAACCCCTATGGTCTATGCACATACGCAGAGTCCCGTCTTTTTTACCCACAAATAAAATGGGAGCAGAATACGGGGATGTGCTGGGTCGAATCATACCTTTCCTCAGTAGGTCGGCTACCTGGCGTGTCACCTCATCCAGCTCCAGGGGGCTGAGGCGATACATGGGGCGCGAAACAGGCTGCGCACCAGGAGCCAAAGGTATGGTATGATCTACAGGTCTCATCGGGGGAAGTCCAGGGACCTCACGGAAGATATCTGAGTATTCGTTAAGAAGGGCTTCAACCGCAGGGTCATTTTCAGTGATCTGGGTAACGGCTGTATTCAGTTGCAATTTAGGCCGTACTAGCAATCCATGCGCCCCCTTGCGAATCATACGGATAGCTGCTTTGCGCCCAACGGGTTCAGGCTCAATTCGCTTACAGATAGCGGCAGCAGCAAAATTCACACAGGGTTCGGAATGCGCAGCACTAGTATTCCCTTCTCCCATCCGTTCCGCAGTGGTGAAAGGCGCCTTATAACACAAGGTTCCCTTCCGCAACTGCAAGGTGTGGGTCTCATAATTCAGATGAGCCCCATACTGATCAAGGGTAGCGGACCCTAAGATAAACGTGGCTGCATCAGTAAACTTAGGCAGCACATACGGACGGACATTTAGGTGCAAAGGGCCCAAGGATATACGAAGGGAAACTTGACCCAAAATGACCTGCTTACCCCCGTCAGCAAGGG